GAATGGAGACAGAAAGAAGAGAGTTTTAATTTCACCTACAAGAACTCTTCTACTCTTGAGTTACTATAAGAAATCCTTGCTGTTTGCACTGCGGGATACATTACACACTTAGGTTCAGGTTTTCATAGTGCTGCAAGGGCTCCAAGCCTAAGAAATGTCTCATTTCAGGTTGGACTTGAATCACAGAATGGTTGGGGTTGGAAGGGACCTTAAAGCTCATCTAGTCTCAACACCCTTGCCATGGGCAGGGACATCTTCCACTAGACCAGGTTTTTCAGAGGACCTTCCATTGCCTGCAGCAGCAAAGGGCCAAAATTGCAGCCTCTGAAATCTCTGGATGTCAGGATAAAATCAATATTTCATGCTGATGTAGCTGAAGCACAGGTTGGGGCTCATACCTCCAGCAGCTCACTCTCCAGGTTTTTCCCTTCTGACATGTGACACAAGGTCACCCACCTTCCACTTTAGAGCGCTGACTGTATACACCCATGCAGGTGTTCCTCCAGGCAGGGTTTGCTGACAGTGCTTTAACACAACAACAAGATTCGTGGCAGAGTTCAGACCACAGCCAGGAGATGTGAATTGGAAAGAACAAATTTTGAGGAAGAAATGTGACTGCCAAGTGTGCCACAGATTACGGCTGCAGCAACCTCTGCATGGGGCTGTTGGCATGTGCTGCTGCAGCATGACAGTGACCACAGCTCTGCATGACACTGGTGGCCCTCAGAGGGGATCAGTGGCATCTCTGGGCTCCCTCTACATGTTACGGACACACCTGTTTTGGCTGCTACCACTGAATCATTTTCGTGCTTTGGCCAGAGCAGCAGGATGAGTGGGAGGGAGGGATTAGGTGATACTGATGGTGCTGGCATGGGGATTTCACCATTACTCCCTGCAGCCTGTGTGACACCTGTCCCAGGGCAGGGAGATAAATAAGGGCTCTGATTTCTAGCATCAATAACCCTGCAGAGAGAGGGTGAACTAAGGGCTTAAGAAATATAATGCTAAGGTGTAGCATGTTAAAGGGCCACAGACATGTTCTGAGAGCTAGAGGACTGAAGACAGGCTGGGAGAGCTGGGGGTGTTCAGACTGGAAAAGAGAAGCTTCTGGGGAAACCTTAGGACCCCTTCCAGTGCCTAAAGGTGCTCCAAGAGAGCTGAAGAGGGACTTTGGACAAGGGTCTGGAGTGACAGGGCTAGGGGGAATGGCTTCCACTGCCAGAGGGCAGGGAGAGATTGGATATTGGGAAGAAATCCTTGGCTCTGAGGGTGGTGATGCACTGGCACAGGTTCACCCAGAGGAGTTGTGTCTGCCCCATCCCTGGAAGTGTTTAAGGCCAGGTTGGATGGGGCTTGGAGCAACCTGGTCTAGTGGAAGGTGTCCACTAGACAGGGTTGGAACTAGATGAGCTTTAAGGTCCCTTCGAATACAAACCATTTGGTGATTCTATGAAATAAGGTGCCATGGAAGCAACTGGGTGCATGGCTTGACACCTAGTTTATAGCCTGGAAAAAAGGAGACTCGAGTGACCTTATCACAGTCTACAAGTACCTGAAAGGAGGTTGTAGTCAGGTAGGGATTGGCCTTTTCTCCCAGATAACAAGTGACAGGACAAGAGGACAGCCTTAAGCTGTGCCAGGGGAAGTTTAGGTTGGACATTAGGAGGAATTTCTT